TTAAAACTAAATATATTATTAATTATTATTAATCTTATTATAAAATTAAACGATAAGTAAATTAAAGTCTGATATATATAATCTATAAAATCTCTCTCTCGCGTACTTCTCTCCCCCTCGCTCTCTCTCCACTCTCTACACTCTCTCCCAGCTATCAATTTTATGTCTTAGTGACCCCTTCTCTTTATCTCTAACCTCCTGTTTCCTATCCAGGCTCCCAAACGTCACGACTTCTCTCTCTATCTTTCTTTCTATATATTCTACAAGTATCATAATTAGTATTATTGTACTTATGAACCTTCTATAACTAACGAAAATCTATCTCTCTTATATATACTACTACTACATATCTAAATATATCTATCTCTCCTCTCTATTTTCTTTCCCCTCTCTCCTGACCTCTCTCTCTTTTCTACGCTCTCTCATCTCTCTCTCGACTCTCTCGCTCTCTCTTTATTTTCCTCTCTCACTTAGGCCTCTCTGTCTCTCTCCTCTCCTCTCTCTCCTCCTCTCTCGTCCCTGGCTCCATATCTGCCTTCTATCTCCCCCCCCCAGCGAATAATAATAAACAAATAACGTCCAAGAGGTTTATATATTACCTAATGAATACACATATTAAATAACTATCTATATAATGATATACAACTGATATATTTTATAGTTTAATCTCGAAATACTAAATATATATTCCTCCTCTCTCGATTTCTCTCTTCTAGTGCATTCCCTCCCTCTGTTTCCCCCTTATCTCACCTCCCTGGTTAGTCTCCCAGGGCCTTCTCTCGGCGCTCCTCTCAACCTCCTCCTTCGTCCCCTTTTGTGTTTTTTCCTTTCCTATTGTTCTTGAGAGGTCGCGGAGTCCCTGGAAGTCCCCCCCTCCCCACCCCCCTATACCCTATTACCCCTGTGCCATCCAACCACCCCCCCATCCCCTGCCTCCACCGCCCCCCCCGCCGCATCTCGACCTGGGGTCAACGACACCTCTCCTCCCCCCCTTCCGAGCACCTCCTACGCCCGCCATCCACTAATTCCTTTATCCTCTTACCCCCTCCCATTCCTCCCTAACTCTGCTTCCCCCCCAACCCCCCATTCCACTATTGCCCCTTTCCCCTCAGTGAACCCGGATAAGCCGCAGGAGCCGGCCCTCAACACGGCCGCCTCGACTCCCCAACCCCAGTTCGCCTCCCCGCCGGGGTGCAATCTTTTCATGCGTTCTAGTTGTAAATGTAGGTCCTCTCTGAATTGGGAGGAGAGAAGAGGATTAAATGTTGAATTCAAGGTTTCGAAAAAACTTTTTTTTTTTTTTCAAATGTTCTCTATCGTAAAAAAAAATAAATAAATAAATAAGGGGGGTGGGGGTCGAAATTATTCTTAGATCTTTTTCTTTCAATTTCTGCCTTCTTTACCTTCACTTCAGTAATATTTAGTTACTATCTGTATGTACTGGATCATTTCTTTCGTTTTTACATATTATTTATCATGAACTTGGGCTGTCTATGAGGGAATGTGTCGTTGTATGAGGTTCTGTATGGAGGGAGGAAGGGGGTGAAAGATGAGGGGGAGGAATGGGGCAGTGGATTAGAAAGCATCTAGGGCTCAGATCAGTGGTCACTTAACTGTATGGCTACTTGGATGTATCTGCGAGAAGTAGGGTAATGGCAAATGGTCTCAGAAATTGAGGGAGGGGGGTAGGTAAATGTTGGTGCGGGGTTCAGGGGGGGGAATAATTTAGGTCTACTTGGATGTATTGGTGCTTATGTCTTGTCTTTTCAATCAAGCTGAGGTATTATTACAGGATATGGTTTCGGTGATTAGTTTGTTTGGTTAAGGATTTATGTGAGCTGTAGGTAAAGGTTGTGTGATCGGGGGCGTGGTATCAGTATATTGGGGGAGTGACGGTGTTAAGAGTAAGTTAGAGGTGTTGTGACAGTTTTGTATAGAATGTATGATGGGGAATAGATATTTTTATTCTAGATCGATGGGTAAGGTGATTAGATGTTAGTTTATTGGTAGTTTGGGTTGCGGTGGTTGTAGGTATTAGAGGTATTTGTTGTGGGTGAGTGGAAGCTTCTTGGCGGATGTTGGTTTGTAATATTAGTTAAAATTTTTGAGACGAATAAAAAGCCGATTTAAAAACTGTATACGTGGGTCTGTGGTTAATTTTTGTTGTTTGATAGTTCGATCTTTTTGAAGTGTCTAGTGTCTTTGGAAGATATGTTTTTGATCGTTTGAATGAGTGTTGCATGGTAATTTAAACTGTGGTTCTTGATGAGGTTGGGTTGCGATTTAGCGGGGTCATTTGATGATGCTGTCTCTCGGTTAAGGGGTGTGCTGACCATGGGTCGATAGGGGAAGTAAGTGCTGGAGGGTGATTTAGTCATAGAGGGGTTTTGGGCTGTGGTCGGGGTGTGGGGTGTGGATAGGATCTTTTATGAATGCTAGTTTAAATGGAGATGCGTAAGGGGGGTGGTTTAGTGTCCAGGAGGATAGGTTTGGTGTTTTG